CAACAACAACCCAACTGTTAGAAGTGTACCATGACATTCTGGAACATGTTGCGAGTGGTAAGGAAGTCGATGCTATTTACCTGGATTTATCGAAAGCCTTTGACAAAGTTCCACACAATCTGTTGTTGAAGAAACTGGAGAATTCCGGAATTGGCGGGCCTCTCCTTGCATGGTTTCGAAGCTACTTGACAGATCGAAAACAACGTGTAGTTCTTCATGGCGTGTGTTCCGATTGGCTCCCGGTTACATCTGGCGTACCACAAGGCTCCATACTTGGTCCAATTTTGTTTCTGATCTACTGCAATGACGTTCAAAATTACATACAAGCAAACTCGACACTCGCACTCTTTGCCGACGATTCTAAACTGTACAGATCTCTTGACCTCCCTAACGCTAGTACATCGCTCCAGCACGACCTTGACAGCCTACAGATATGGAGCGTTGATATGAAAATGGATTTTAACACGACGAAATGCAAAGTTATGCACTTCTCCAAAAAGAAATTGAAAACTGAAACATCCTATATTCTTACTGGACAGCAACTCGAACAAGTTACGCATATCTCGGACCTTGGTATCACAGTCTCTAGCGATTTATCGTGGTTTAAACACATCGAGAACATTGCTGCAAAAGCCAACAAGACACTGAGTCTCATTAAAAGGATAAGCAAGGGTATAACTGATTTCGCTACAAGGAGATTATTGTACTGCACCCTCGTCAGACACAAGTTAGAGTATGCTAGTAACGTGTGGTCACGCAGAGCCGTTAAACATCGATCATTAATCGAGAACGTTCAGCGGAGAGCAACGAAGTTCATTCTAAATTACCCAAAGGAAATGTCGTACACGGAAAGATTGATCAAAACCAACCTCCTTCCGTTAGAATTCCGCAGAGAGATGACGGACTTGATTTTACTGTATAAGTCAAAAACCGGACTCATTCCTATGGACGTTAATAACTTTTTATGTTTGTACGAGCCTGGTTTTAGATCTCGCAATTATAATGAAAATAATTACTATTTCCTCTTAAAACATAAACAGCAGTACTTTGGAAACTCGTTCTTTGTCAGATCTGCAAGTCCGTGGAAGAGCCTACCAGCAGATCTAAAAATCTGTGGTTCCCTTAACTCTTTCAAGATTAGTATACGTAAACATTATGTTTCTAAGTTAACTTCTTACAGTCCTCCTGGCTTTACTTAGATCTATAAGTTATAAAAGTTATTTGTGTAATGTACTGTACTAACGTGCTTGGCTGCTTGTTGTTTACTTGGTCTCACGGCCTTCCTGAGGCTCCATATGATTCTGTTGCAAAATAGGTTTTTGGTTAGGCTAGTGATTTGTTCGAGAAATAGTTAGAAATATTGACATTCACTTACTAATGACCTATTCCCATGAGTACCTCAGTACTTTTGTCACGAATCATGCATGCGAAAAGTCATTGTGCTCGGTGTGCAACAAGCAGCAAAGTCTAGTTATAATGTTGGGATCAGGTGTCAATTGGGACGCAAGTCCTGTTCCTTTCCCCAGTCACACTTATGTCCTCTGTTTATTGTAGATGTATGCGTAATGATTGTGTTGTGACAAATGATTAAATTAAATTAAATTAAACTTGATTATGTTGCCAGTCGAGTATGGGACTTATGGGTCTTCTAGATCCTAGAGTAGCACAATTAATATAAAGTCTGCGTAAGGCGGTAATATTAAAGACTGTTCTTATTTATGCATGACCTTTGACTATGAAGTGGCCAAAAATTGTTCCTACAGTAATAACTTATTCCACTATCCAGGTTGCATCACTTTTGATTGCAAAACACCCGGGTTTATTATACATGGATTATTGGATTTGCTAGCAAAATAGCAGCAATTGATGAACTTGGTGTTATACTAAGATTTACTAAATGTGTAAAGAAACAACGAAAAGTATATATCAATCAGAGTCATTATCTTGATCAATTTCCGATGGGATCTCCAAAGAAAGTAGCTTATACATGTGCAAACAACATGAAACTTCAGACTGCAGAAAATTTCACAATCCGTTATCAAACTTATGTCACAGAAGTGGTAAAGGACATATGTCACAACTGAATGGTACCTTTTGTAAATTTTTTGGCCAGGGGTGGGTATTTATTTTTTAATTGATATTTGAGGTTGGGTAATCAATTTTTTTTTACTTTTTAATGGTTGGGTCAGCAAAAATTTTGCTACGAAAAACATTTCTCTTCGGTGCCACCCCCCCGCCATAAATAATGACCGGTCCCTAAAGCAGATCGATATCGACATATTATATCGTCGGTTTACTTTGGAGGTTCATATATCTTTGGTTCAGTGCATGCTGTGTGGATGAATATACCACTGTTCAATTCAGTGAAACATCCCTATGGATGGTTTTAGTAAAATGTCAACAGGAACATTACAGCGATTTACGATCTTTAGAAGTCAAGCGATACCATTTTCACACAATTTTCCCGAACAATGTAAACGATGTCAATGTATTACCAAGGCCGGAATAATTAGTGCATGACCTTTCGTGGAATAGAACTTCGGTCCCTTTCAACATATCTTTTTCGTAATAGTCTTGTTCGAATTAGAATCCAAAACACTATTCAGAGTGTTATTTTCAAGCTTGTATCTACAGATTTGCATCTTTTATTTCGGTATTTCAAGATATCTAAATTTTTAGTGACAGCTTCAACCGGAAATACAAACATATTGTCGAAACAATGCTGTCCTAGCACTCGGGAAACGTCTGAAACCGATTCGTCGGAAACCGATTTGAGTCACAGTGCCCCTGTAGCGTGGCCGAAGTTGCATGTTCAGCGAAAGGTACGGACCGTCTATATTGTTATTGAGTAATTCGATAATATACTATGTCGCTTGCCTTTCAGAGGCAATAAATCGCTACAATGTTGATAATGACCAAAACTATTGTAAGAAATTATTTGGGGTTTTTTCACTGAATCAAATGGTGGTATTATTGTGTTCATAGCATGCACTGAAATCAAGATATGAACATGCAAAGGTTGACAGCTTTTAGCGACGTACGATGGTTGGGACTGAGCGTGAAAGGGTTTTAAAATTTTATTTTAGCCGTTTACAACGAAATAGTAGAGTTAATTTAATATTTTCTGGTTTGTTTTTAAAAAGGTTGCTCTATGATGGTTATGTTATACGGTATCTGGCTTCATACGACAAAGAATGAAGAACAAAAATATTATGGTTCAATGGTTGAAAAATCAACCAAGATATTCCGTTCATTATATTGAACGAAATCAGCTATATGACGCTATAACAATTGCCAATCATATAGGCTAACCACATGTTCGCAATGCGTACCTATGTTTATATGATCTAAGGCCATGATTTTCATGATAATTTAATTGCCATATCTTGAACCGGAAATATTTCTGACGACATAACCCATTACGTCTGAACGATTTTGATGTATAATATATAATATAAACATTCTATTAATAAATAGCAGTTGACCTACATGACAAGTATCTAACATTGGATTCACCCAGCATGGAAATGTTTCGAAATCTACCTCCGTAAATACTTGATCTAACGTAAATCTGGTCGACGCAGACGCTATACAGTACAACGCCTTCAAACATATATAATAATATAATCAGTAACCATGATATGCAATCTCTTAACATTGAAACCTTTCGTATATACAGCAAGTGCGACGTTCCTGTTCGTTGTAGAATGCATTCAGTTATAACTTCCGCAAATGTATGCATTTATTTGCCTTTGTACTAATATACAACACTCGGGTTTTGCAAAATTAATGCTCTCAACATACTTTTCCCCTTTTACTTCTTTCCTTCACCTTTCATCATAGGTAGCCCAGACGCACTGTGCAATTTAAATGCTTGGCATACTTAATTACCCCCTGCGGTTTCGACCTCAAAATAATAATGTTGACGATTAGCTAAAAAATATTCTGAATTTTTACACTAAAATGTATCACTAATCAATAGTTATCGTTGAAGGAAATATACCTAGATACATAGCATGCATCAACAAAAATGAATAGTTTATACCTTTGATAGATAGATAGATAGATAGATAGATAAATAGATAGATAGATTGATAGATAGATAGATAGATAGATAGATAGATAGATAGATAGATAGATAGTTTATTAAGATATATCATTACAGCCAAAATGGCTGAATTGTATATAAATTTACACACTAAAAGTTGAAAGTGATTAAAATAGTGCCGGATAAACTAATTTTACATGTAATATCCAATAAGTGTATATATATATAAATATATATATATATATATATATATATATATATATAAATATATATATATATATATATATATATATATATATATATATATATATATATATATATATATATATATATATATATATATATATATATATATATATATATATATATATATATATATATATACGAGTAGGTTTGTGCATACGAAACGCAAAGAGTGCTCGATATCATAAAGATAGAGCAGATGTAGAATTTCGCTTACCTCAAAATTCCGCAACAGTCTGTTTCATCAGATACCGCCTGATGATTCTTTACTGATGAAACAGACTGTTGCGGAATTTTGAGGTAAGCGAAATTATATATATATATATATATACAAACACGTACCTGTATGGCCGTCGAAGTATGTTGGCATTCGCGAAAATGACACTGGAATTGGTCTGAACAAAAAGAAAGCTATATTACAACCTAAGTTTTAAAATTGAAGATGAACATAGAAGACCTGTGTTCCACAAAACAATTCTACAATACAATACTTATTTACCTGCTACCATCTAATCTTGCGTTTGGTCCCACTATATATTAAATAAAAAATAGATACGAGTAGGTTGGGCGAAATGTGCATATAGTTGGGTTTCAAGCAATCCCCCACACGCCGGCCATATTCAGCAAATTTTCTCCCAGTGCCCCGCTGGCTCGCATTTTGCAGCAGACTCGCGGTGAAACTGAACTAGCCATTTTGTGTAAGATGTCCACAGACAATACGAGCCCGCACGAGTGTGAGAAATTTCACTAACTTTGACCAGCGTGCCCCGTAACTTTAACACACATGCAGATATAGGGCAAACAATCAGATTCTAATGAGGTAGATTCCTTTTCTAAATGCCCTCCGTGTGCACTGAACTGCAGCCTGAAGAAAGTCATGCACCTATAGTGAAGGCTGCAAGCTTTACTCGTGATTGTCCTTTCAAATATAAAAACGTTGTTGCTAACATAGTCAAGCTTACAATGCACATTGGGCACAATCTTCAACCTAGATGTAGACTTGGTTCAAGTCCTCTCAAGAGGTTGTATGAATGCACACGAGTGGTGAAAAAAAGGCACGAAAATATGATAGAAAAGTAGGGAGAGACGAACTTGGACGCAATCGCGCCAAAATTTACCGTCGGATTTTTCACAAGGAGGCGTGGCTTGCGAGTTGAAAACAACAAATTTTCGCGGCAATTTTTGCAAGTAACATTCGAAATGCTGCAAATGTCCCAAGTCCGTCTCTCCCTACTTTTCTCCTGAGGTGGACTTGAATCAAGTCCACCCTATATGTTTTAATTCACATATCGAAGGACATGAAATAATTTTAGGTAGCTTTCCATGTATCATGTTAAAAGTTTGCAAACCTGCTGGAGCGGAGACAACAGTGGCAGGCAGTGTTCCTGTATGACCTCCGAACGATACAGATGATACGATATTGCTTGGCTTTAGAAGTCGGGTATGGTCCTGTAACTAAAGAAAGGGGTGTACAATAGTTTTAGACCGAGACACGTACAGTTTGGCTTTAGAAGTCGGGTATGGTTTGTATTGCAGAAAGAAAGGAAAATACTGTAGATATAGAAACTGGCAAAGGGAGTCCCATAAAGAGTTTTTTTTTTAAATCTTACATTCAAAATCCTTAGAAGTGCTTATGTCACGCAATTTTTAAAACAGAGTTCTTTTGCATTGTGGGATACTTTTGAGTCAATATAATAATTCATTGTTTGAAAATTACGTGTAATTGGTTGCTAATTACATGTCAGATTACTGTTTTCTTAGGTACAAAACAAGTCGTATAATTCAACTGGTATGCGATGAATTTGTTACTTAATTTGAGTAGGACAATTTCTGTGCAATCGCAAAACTAGTTAACCCTCTATGCCAGACACTCAATTTCAATGCTTTTCCTTCTGTGAAAAGGTATTGATATGGTAAGGTCGGAGAAAGCACATAGAAGTAACGCAAATTACTTTCTAGAAAATGTTACTCGTTACCTTATGTTACAAAATTACTTTCGTACAACAAGTAATTAACGAAAAAAATACTCAAAAAGTAATTAGTAACGCGTTACTTTAGTAACGAGTATTTTGAAGACTATAACTAGTTTAATACCTGAGGAGGCCTCGTAGCAAACGATACAGGCGAAGGCTGCGAATATAGTGGACCTAAAAACGAGAAATGCTTCTTGGTAGCAAGTTCATTGTCTTATGCTCAGACAAAACTGGCTGAAATTGTAATTAAGGTGGCTCTTGTACTACAAGAAAATGTTTTCTGAAATAAAAAATGGGGGTAACCAGGCGTCTTTTTAAGTAAAGTGTTAATTTTTTAAGCCAAAATATCGGCCATCTTGAATCGTCATTGTTGTCATAGCAACAGTGGTGACGTCACCTATGTGACCAATTGTTTGATTGTCGCTGTATATATGGTGTACACTTTTTTATTTCTAGCAAACAACATCTCTTCAAAGAGTTGATCTAAATTATGCATTTTCAACATTTCTATAAAATCTAGGGAGCCAAAACCCCACACAGATGAGTACATTTTACTTGACATCTTCTTGTGTGTATACGGTCAACAAGTTTTCCTTGACAATTTTTGTTGCTCGTGTGCACGGAATGTTGCTAAACGTTCGACTAATTTATCTCACGTCAAGACCGCCTTTTGTTCGCGAAAAACATAAGTATTTCTTGTATGTATTTCCCGTGCACACGAACAAATTTTCCTTTGACTGGCTTTGGAATAAGACTCCTTAGCATGCAAGGGAAAACTGTCAATCTTCTGCCGTACACACGAACAAATAAAACGTCTATACGGGGCATAATGCACAGTTTGCATAACAATACCCTACCTAGTCCAGGGGTTGGACCAACATGAGATATGACTTTTGGAACATTAAAATTTGACGTTACTGATGCGACAGGGCCAATTGGTGACGGTCCAGGGATAGAAGTTCTAAACACAAAGTAAAAGAATCATCCACAATCAACATAGGAGACATTGCGATAACAAATTACAATAATGCATATTACACGAGGGGTCTTATTGATGGATGATTAAATATAGAGGGGGGGGGGGAGAGGCTTTGCTGGAACGAAGTAACTAAGAAATTGAAATATGTTACGTAACACGCGCTCAAAACTAATTAATATATTTTTCCACTTGGTTACTGTATGCCTATATTCAATATTTTTTTTAATTTTTCATACGTTTCTCAAGCGAGAAACAAACTTAAAAAGTATGTTTAGTGCTTTATCTGTAAAATAATGTTAAAATGAAGAGATTTTAGATGGTACGCCAAAGAGAAAATGATGTCTGAAGTTCAGCAAGTTTTGCTTATATTGCCGTATATATAATATATAACAACTTTACAGCATCAATGATAATTGTATTTTTAAATTGGCAATATTTAACTATTGTTTTGTGTTTCTCAACCACCAGATACATTTAAAAAGGTTGCGAACTGTGTAAACTACAAAATGAAGCTAAAACGAAGTCATTTTGAGAGGAAAGCCAAAGCGATTTTAGGTTTTGAACAATTTTCATCGCAAATACGCGACATATAGAGGAGGAGGGAGAGGGAGGGGCGAGAACAGCAGCGAAGCAAACAACAAGAAGAGACTAAATAACGCACAATATAAACATCGTTATGGTTTCCTGTCCAACACCAAAAAATGCAAAGTGGTGTAGAAAGAACTCTTAGTTATAAAGATGAAGTACAATCAAGTTTGATTACGTGTGACTTCTTGTAAATACATGACATTGTGCAGACACCTGAAATCTGATATTAAAGACGACCTGATCTGACGCGATTACGAAAATTGCAAGTGGCTACAGTATAGTCTAGTTCGACTGAAGCAATCATTGCACAAATTACTTGAGACGTTTAAGTGTCTCGATGAACTTGGCTAATTTCGAATTTGCAGATCAGATGCAGCCAAACCAAAAAGAGGGAGTTAAATATTAGGGTTAGCGCCACAGTGAAACCCCGCATATAAGAACGTACATTTCTCCGAGTTAGCCTAAACATGCAGGTTTTTATGTACATGGTGCTTACCAGGAAATTGGGCTAAACAGGTTCTTAAATAGGTTCTGATTTTCGTAAGAAAAAAGCAACTCATTTTCTGTAGGTGTGGTATTCATATAAATTATGCACATATTATCTAACAGTCCATGACGCTTCAAAACATTGCTTACAGTCACTAGTATACTGTAGTTGAGATTGCCATGTAGTATTTTCACTGAAGAAATACAATTATCTGTTGCTGTGTTCATATATATAGGATATTAGACGGTTGCGAAGAGATATGGATTTTATGTTCGAGTGGCAAAAACAATATCTCACGAGTGAGCGCAGCGAACGAGTGAGATATTGTTTTTGACACGAGAACATAAATCCATATCTTCTCGCAACCGTTTAATGTTCTGTTTATTATACTGTATGGACTTACTCAGAGTGACAAAAATACACACAAAGACGACATGTAAATAAGCACGCGAAAGACCAGTGTAAATGCGATATTTTTTAAAATTATAGTGCAAACACAAAACTAGAATAAATTTTACTTATCTCAAGATGTCTTTTAAATGTTTTCGTTTTATTTCCAACGTTAATTTCGTTTTAAATACGAACCCAAGACCATTTGTATTTTCAAAACAACAACAATGAAAATGGCGGGAAATTTTCGAACTTCGTATGTCACTAGCAGGGGTGAAATACGGAAAATACACGCACATGGTCCCGGATGTAGTGACGTATGAGTTCTACGAGTGTTTTAGTTTCCAGTAAAACACCATTGTCCATATAATAAAGACACGTTATTTATCTGAATGACATTTCCAGGGTTCTGGGTCAATTTCATTATTTTCTGAAGAGCTTATTTTATTTGATTTATAAATTTTAAATTCTAGCCTAAACATGCAGGTTCTTAAGGCCATGTTACACGGTGCAATTTTTCTTGTAACTTGCAATGCAATTCTACTCTTGAGAGATGTTAATTAGTCCAATCTGTGAAGAATTTTCGATATGTTGAGAAAACATCAGCGGAGTGTAATGAAGACTCGTATTTGGTAATTTTACATCTCTCAAGAGTAGAATTGCATTGCAAGTTGCAAGAAAAATTGCACCGTGTAACATGGCCTTTATTTAAAGGAGGTCTAAATAAAATGTTTTAACCTAACAGGTTCTTAAATTCTAAGTTCTTATATGCGGGGTTTTACTGTAATCCAGCTTTGAACAACCAGATCCTGTATTTCATATAGCCTCCTAGCTCCTTCCCATCCTTTGATACAACATCTTATAGAGTTTATAAAAAAAAATTCGGAGCTACTATGTCTAGATGAAGCTGTACTCGGAGTGGCTCCAAATTAGCCTGCGTCGTAGGCCACTCCAAATGGGCAAGCTAGTAAATTGCTTGACCACGGCGGACTGGCAAACCACTGTATAGCGGGTTCCACTGGAGATTGTTTTCAAAATCCTTATTATGGAAATAGTGGGAAACAGGTGACGTCATCCCTTGGGTATTTAAGAAGCCACGATTGCAATTTTAGATCACCCCTGATGAAGACACTAGACTGGAGTGTCGAAACGTTGGGTCTTGATTACAATTCGACTGGGTTTTGTAGTCATTTATTTAAACCAGAGTAGCGAGCGAAACATGATTGATATACCTGGTTGCAGTGAACGAACAAACTTTAAAAGTATGGATCTTAGTTGAAAATAGTATGGAAATCCAATATTCATACTAACTGCAATTTCCATATACTGTGGATATATAGTATGGATATACTATGGATTTAGTGGTGCAATCGCAAATTCCATACTATGGATTTCTCTATTTTTTCGAGTGTTCACTTTCAATGGCAATCAAACAATTTTTCAGCTTGCCAGGAAGGAGTCACTCGAAGTAGCATCATCGAGTATAAACAGAATATATTTTTCACTGGCTCAAAAAGCTATACATGAATTTACGTATAGTGTATAATACAAACCTTGAAACAGAAGATAAATGCGGTGATGTTGAAGTTGTATGTTTAATATAGGTAGGGGCACCAATAGCTTGGACACTCAAACCAAGTGTGTTCTTTCCAAGTGCTGTATTTAACGAAGTTTTCGAAGTTGTAGTCGTGGATGTTGTATGATGTAGATTGTGAGACGCCGGTTCACTCACGGCTGGACGACTTTCAAGTACAGAATGAGCCTCAGTTGGGGTTGCCTGTGATTTAATGTCACCTGCAGAAACACAATGACAGATATTAGTTGTAAGAATTTGTTGTTTTGCTTGTTACAGATCTAGGAAAAATACTTTACATCAAAGTGTAAAGTCCAACAAACCACAAATACGTTTTTTGGTATGTATAATATTTTTGGTTAATTCTGAGAAGAAATGTAGGCTAATTAGCTAATATACACGGTATACATTAGTAAAGTCTCATTTTAGTCAACATTTTCACTGTAAAAGTTTCCGGATATGAAGTCACTACATTAGATTGCAGATTAGTATTAATTTGTTATTTTGTGTGTGTTGGTGTTATGTACTCAGGTGAATATGATGTTTGTGATGTTACTCTGAGTGTGCATCCACACCGGGCAAGCTGAAAAGTTAGCTTGGCCACGATGGGAATCGAACCCGCGACCTTTGGGATACAAGTCCAATGCTCTGCCAACTGAGCTACGTGGTCAAGTCGGTTCGAGTTGATGATATTTCGGAACTGAGTCTAGTTCCTTCGATATCAGTGTATTCTATGATATGATTATTTTGGGTGTTGTGTACTCAGGTGAAACTAGTATCCCAAAGGTCGCAGGTTCGATTCCCACCGTGGCCAAGCTAACTTTTCAGCTTGCCCGGTGTGGATGCACACTCAGAGTAACATCACAAACATTAATTTGTTTTTTGGTCCAAACATTTATGACACCAGGTCGAGTATCTGATATCAAGACGATTTTTTAATATATATATATATATATATATATATATATATATATATATATATATATATATATATATATATATATATATATATATATATATATATATATATATATATATTCCTCGCTGAGGAATACGTAGTTGAATGTTTTGTAAAACCAGCTGTATTGAAAAAAGTTGACCCACAACAGTTCGGTACATTACCTGGCTTGAATACCACCTATGCTCTTATTAGCATGCTACATAAATGGAACAGTGACACCGATGGTAATAGTGCAACAGTGAGGATCGTATTGTTCGACTTCAAAAAGGCCTTCGATCTGATCGATCATGATATTTTAATTCAGAAACTAGTGTCGTACGAAATTCCAAATAATGTTGTCAATTGGATAATAGATTTCTTGTTGAACCGCAAACAAAGAGTTAAACTCTGCCAAGATTGTGTTTCGGAGTGGGGCTCGGTCCCCGCGGGTGTACCGCAAGGAACAAAATTGGGCCCATGGCTGTTTTTAGTCATGATTAACGATTTAAATGTCTCTAATGGTGTGATGTGGAAATATGTGGACGACTCAAACATCTCCGAAACTGTTAAAAAAGACGAAGTAAGTCATATCCAATCAACCGTAGAT